CGTAGGATGTTGTTCCAGAACTGTGAAGGCTTTTTTAGATGTTGTTTGGCAAACTCTAATCTGGCCTTCCTGTTTTTGGGGCTCACCAGTGGTTTACATCTTGTGGTGGACCCTCTGTATTCACACTGGTGGAGTCTTCTCTTGGTTGTTGACTTTGACACAGATACACCTACCTCCTGCGTTCCTTCTTGTTGAGAATGTTACAAACTGTTGTTTAGGCCACGCCTAATGGTTTTGCTGTCTCTCTGATAGGTTTCTTTTGTTGTTTTCAGCCTAATGATGGCTTGCTTCACTGATAGTGACAGCTACTTGGATCTCATCTTGACAGTTGACAGAAACAGATTCCAGATGCAAATAGCACACTTGAAATGAACTCTGGACCTTTTATCTGCTCATTGTAATTGGGATAATGAGGGAATAACACACACCTGGCCATGGAACAGCTGAGAAGCCAACTGTCCCATTACTTTTGGTCCCTTAACAAGTGGGAGGCACATATGAAACTGTTGTAATTCCTACACCGTTCACCTGATTTGGATGTAAACACCCTCAAATAAAAGCTGACAGTCTGCAGTTAAAGCATATCTTGTTCGTTTCATTTGATATCCATTGTGGTGTATAGAGCCAAAAATGTTAGCATTGTGTCGATGTCGGTTACGGCCAAGATGGCGCCGAGGATGGTCGCCCTGGTGCTAACGTGCAGCGTGTTTTTTTTTTGTTTATGTCTGTAAATTGTGTGTCAGCGTGCTCTTACACCCGTGAAGAGCTTCTAAACGTCAGATCATCAATGCCGACGGACCTATTTCCAGTTTTTTTAGTGGGTGTGGCAGATTTGGTTCACTTTTTTATTAAGAAAGTGAGACGCCGTAGAAGAGGAAAACGTGCGGGAGTGCTCGTGCGTCTACGAAGACGCGGCTCATGCACGCCCTTACCTGGGATTTTCCTCTCCAATGTCCGCTCACTTAGTAACAAGACGGATGAACTGGCGTTGCTGATGAGACGGAACAGAGACTTTTTTTCCTCCTCTGTCAAATGTTTCACGGAAACATGGCTCAGTGAGCAGATTCCGGACGGCGCGCTCCATTTGGAGGGATTCCAGCTCTTCCGCGCAGACAGACAGCGGGTCTTATCCGGAGGAAAGGCAAAAGGTGGAGGTGTCTGCTTCTACATCAACAATGCCTGGTGTTCGGATGTGACTGTGATTTCCCAGTACTGTTCTCCTGCTCTGGAATTCCTCTTCATAAACTGTAAGCCGTTCTACTCCCCACGTGAGTTCGCTTCATTCATTCTGGCCGCTGTTTACATCCCGCCGTGCGCGGACGTGCGCGAGGCACAACGTGCGCTCGCGGAGCAGATCCTAAGTGTGGAACAGACCTTTCCGGACTCTCTAGTTATTATCCTCGGCGACTTTAACAAGGCAAATCTGAGCCAGGAATTACCTAAGTACAGACAGTTTGTTAAATGCCCGACAAGAGAGCAGAACACGCTGGACCACTGCTACACCACAGTTAGTGGAGCTTATCGAGCCGTGCAGCGAGCTGCTCTCGGCTTCTCAGACCATGCCATGATTCACCTCATCCCCTCATATAGGCAGAGGCTGAAGCTCTCCAAGCCTGCAGTGAGGACTACTAAGAAGTGGACCTGCGAGGCTGTGGATGAGCTTCGCGTGTGTCTGGACACAACAGACTGGAACGTGTTTGGATCTGTCACAGACAACTTGGATGAATATACAGACACTGTGACATCATACATAAAATTCTGTGAGGACAGCATTATTCCAACAAAGACCAGGGTCATTTTTAACAACGATAAGCCCTGGTTCACACCCAGACTGAGACAGCTGAGGAGAGAGAAAGAAGCAGCCCACAGAGCCGAGGACAGAGAAAGCTACAAGGGCGCCAAGTACAGGTTCTCAAAAGAGTTGAAGAAGGTGAGATCTCGGTACAACAAGCGACTAAAGGAGCAGTTCTCCAACAATGACACCGCCTCTGTCTGGAGAGGGTTCAGGCAAATCACAAACTACAAGCCCAGAGCCCAACATGCTGCTGACGTTCTACAACTGGCTGAACAACTTAACTCCTTTTATGCAAGGTTTGAAATGCAACACCCATCCCCCACACCCCCTACTGCACAGGCTCCTTCAGCCTCTCTGGTGTCATATACCTCCCCCACCATCCTCACCACTGTGAATAGTTCAGTCCCCACTGTCCACCCCTCCCCCTCCATTACCATCTCAGTGACAGAAGAGGAAGTGCTTAGGGTTTTCCGTAAGCAAAATCCTCGGAAATCCCCGGGCCCGGACGGCGTCTCCCCCACAACCCTGAGACACTGCGCAGAGGTACTGTCTCCAATCTTCACGGACATCTTTACCATCTCCTTGGAGACCTGCCATGTTCCAGCCTGCTTTAAGCTGTCCACCATTGTTCCTGTGCCTAAGAAACCCCGTATCACTGGACTGAATGATTACAGGCCTGTGGCGCTGACGTCTGTAGTCATGAAGTCTTTTGAGCGCCTGGTCCTCCCTCATCTCAAGTCCTTCACCTCCCCCCTCCTGGACCCTCTGCAGTTCGCATACAGAGCTAATAGGACTGTAGACGACGCCATCAACCTGGCCCTCCACTTCATCCTGTAGCACCTGGACTCCACAGGCACCTACGCTAGGATCCTGTTTGTGGACTTCAGCTCTGCGTTCAATATCATCCTCCTGCTCTGCTCCAGGACAAGCTCTCCATGCTCAACGTTCCCAACTCCACCTGCAGGTGGATCACTGACTTCCTGACGGACCGAAGGCAGTGCGTGCGGCTGGGGAAGAATGTTTCCACCACTCAGACAATTAGCACAGGATCTCCACAGGGCTGTGTACTCTCTCCTCTGCTCTTCTCCCTGTACACAAACTGCTGCACCTCGAGCTATGACTCCGTTAAACTAATCAAGTTTGCGGACGACACCACCCTCATCGGGCTCATCTCTGACGGTGATGAGTCCGCCTACAGGAGGGAGGTGGAACGGCTGGTGTGCTGGTGCAGCAGCAACAACCTGGAGCTCAATGCTCAGAAAACAGTGGAGATGACTGTGGACTTCAGGAAAGTAACAGCCCCATCTCTCCCCCTCGTCCTGACGGACACCACCGTCACCACTGTGGACTCCTTCCGCTTCCTCGGAACCACCATCACACAGGACCTTAGGTGGGAGCCATCCATAAGCTCCCTGATCAAAAAGGTCCAGCAGAGGATGTACTTTCTGCGGCAGTTGAAAAAGGCCAAGCTGCCGGCCCAGATGATGGTGCAGTTTTACACGGCTATCATTGAGTCCATCCTCACCTCCTCCATCGCTGTGTGGTACGCTGGAGCCACGGTGAGGGACAAACACAGACTGCAGCGCATTGTGCGCTCTGCTGAGAAGGTGATTGGCTGCAGCCTTCCATCTCTCCAGGACCTGTACGTCTCCAGAACTCGGGGGCGTGCAGGTCGGATAGCAGCTGACCCTTCTCACCCAGGTCACAGACTTTTTGAGCCGCTTCCCTCAGGCAGGAGGTTACGGTCCATCCGGACCAGAACCTCTCGCCATAAGAACAGCTTCTTTCCATCTGCCGTTAGACTTGTGAACAGCTTATAAACACACAACCATGCTCGTCTTCTGTACTTGACATAACGTCACGTTATCGGCCATGTTACCTTTACCTGCCATTTTTTATAGCAAAGTTTTATGCTAGTTTATTATATTTTATTCTACTTTATTCTATTTTTAGTTATATTATTCATGTTATATGTAGCACGTTAGTACCGAAGCAAGTTCCTAGTTTGTGAATCGTTTGTTCACTGACAATGGCAATAAACCTTCTCTGATTCTGATTCTGATTGTGATGTCCCGATGTTTATGGACCTGACTGTACGTTTAACGTTGCAAATCTGCAACACCTGCCTCCAGAGGGTTAAAAGCCAGCATCAAAATATTAAAATAAATCCTGACCTTAACAGGAAGCCAGTGGAGGTCGTATTTTCTTGTCCCTGTCAGAAGGCGAGCTGCTGCATTCTGAACACTCTGCAAGCGACACGAAGTGGCCTGTGGCAAACCCAAATACAGAGCATTACAATAGTCGAGCCGAGAAGATATAAAAGTGTGAATAAAAGTCTAAAACAGATCATGAGGCACATAGACCTCAATCTTACTGAGTAACCTCAGCTGGAAGAAACTAGACTTCACCACAGCACTGACCTGATCCGAGACGGTGAGACCCGAGTCAAAAAACACTCCCAGAACTGTGGGAACTAAGGTGGCTGGGGAGAGGGAAGTCTGGGCCTCCCTGGTGAGGCTGCTGCCCCCGCGACCCGACTCTGGATAAGCAGAAGAAAATGGATGGATAGACTTGAGGATGATATTATGGTTTGGTTTGTTGATCTTCGTCAAACACTTTAGTGCTTCATGAATAAACTTTACTTACTGGTTCTGTTCAGGAACCGTTAGAACAGAAACATCATCTGTGACCTCAGCGCTGCAGAATAAGAATAACAAGTTTAATTTTCCTTTAATGGACAAACCAGAAGTAGATTTACTGCAGAGGAAGACTCCTCCTCTTCCTCCTTTAATACAAAGCTGTGAAGCTTGAAGGAAACCAACAGAACTTCTGCTTAAACAGAGGAGCGAGGACACGTTTCTGGTGAGTTTAGAGGATTTTCTGTCAACAACATATAAAACCACTGATTAATATTTTCCTACCATTATTCTTGTTTTTAAATTTTAATTCAAATTTTCTTGTTTTGGTTCTAAAACATTGAACTAAACTACAAATTTATGTTAATTGTTTGACTTTTACTGAGAAAATCTGTTAATTTAAAGATAAGATTTTAAAACTTTAGCAAGAAACAAACATTTATGTTTCTGCATTTTAAACACTGGTTGTGTGTGTGTGTGTGTGTGTGTGTGTGTGTGTGTGTGTGTGTGTGTGTGTGTGTGTGTGTGTGTGTGTGTGTGTGTGTGTTCTCAGACTGACTGTGGTGATGATGATTCGTCTACAGAACTCTGAACAAGGTGAGAACATCTTCAAACCAACATACTGAACACATCTGGTGTCTTTAGAAAATCTTTAACAACCAGAAACATCAGACAGACTCAGGAGGACCGATGTCTCCGTGGCAACAACACATTAATGTCTGCTGTCAATAACTTCCTGTTTTTAACCAGAAACTAGAGTCACACCTGAGTTATTTTATCTAAAACTTGTGTAGAATTCATGCAGCAGAAGCTGTTTTCTGGAGACCATGATGGAGCAGATGTTGGTTGTATGTGGCGAGTGGGTCCAGATGTGGGTTGTATGTGGCGAGTGGGTCCAGATGTGGGTTGTATGTGGCGAGTGGGTCCAGATGTGGGTTGTATGTTGTGAGTGGGTCCAGATGTGGGTTGTATGTTGTGAGTGGGTCCAGATGTGGGTTGTATGTTGTGAGTGGGTCCAGATGGTGGTTGTATGTTGTGAGTGGGTCCAGATGGTGGTTGTATGTTGTGAGTGGGTCCAGATGGTGGTTGTATGTTGTGAGTGGGTCCAGATGTGGGTTGTATGGTGTGAGTGGGTCCAGATGTGGGTTGTATGGTGTGAGTGGGTCCAGATGTGGGTTGTATGGTGTGAGTGGGTCCAGATGTGGGTTGTATGTTGTGAGTGGGTCCAGATGTGGGTTGTATGTTGTGAGTGGGTCCAGATGTGGGTTGTATGTTGTGAGTGGGTCCAGATGTGGGTTGTATGTTGTGAGTGGGTCCAGATGTGGGTTGTATGGTGTGAGTGGGTCCAGATGTGGGTTGTATGTTGTGAGTGGGTCCAGATGTGGGTTGTATGTTGTGAGTGGGTCCAGATGTGGGTTGTATGTTGTGAGTGGGTCCAGATGTGGGTTGTATGTTGTGAGTGGGTCCAGATGTGGGTTGTATGTTGTGAGTGGGTCCAGATGTGGGTTGTATGTTGTGAGTGGGTCCAGATGTGGGTTGTATGTTGTGAGTGGGTCCAGATGTGGGTTGTATGTTGTGAGTGGGTCCAGATGTGGGTTGTATGTTGTGAGTGGGTCCAGATGTGGGTTGTATGTTGTGAGTGGGTCCAGATGTGGGTTGTATGTTGTGAGTGGGTCAGATGTGGGTTGTATGTTGTGAGTGGGTCCAGATGTGGGTTGTATGTTGTGAGTGGGTCCAGATGTGGGTTGTATGTTGTGAGTGGGTCCAGATGTGGGTTGTATGTTGTGAGTGGGTCCAGATGTGGGTTGTATGTTGTGAGTGGGTCCAGATGTGGGTTGTATGCTGCGAGTGGGTCCAGATGTGGGTTGTATGTTGCGAGTGGGTCCAGATGTGGGTTGTATGTTGTGAGTGGGTCCAGATGTGGGTTGTATGTTGTGAGTGGGTCCAGATGTGGGTTGTATGTTGTGAGTGGGTCCAGATGTGGGTTGTATGTTGTGAGTGGGTCCAGATGTGGGTTGTATGGTGTGAGTGGGTCCAGATGTGGGTTGTATGGTGTGAGTGGGTCCAGATGTGGGTTGTATGTTGTGAGTGGGTCCAGATGTGGGTTGTATGTGGCGAGTGGGTCCAGATGTGGGTTGTATGTTGTGAGTGGGTCCAGATGTGGGTTGTATGTTGTGAGTGGGTCCAGATGTGGGTTGTATGTGGCGAGTGGGTCCAGATGTGGGTTGTATGTGGCGAGTGGGTCCAGATGTGGGTTGTATGTTGTGAGTGGGTCCAGATGTGGGTTGTATGTTGTGAGTGGGTCCAGATGTGGGTTGTATGTTGTGAGTGGGTCCAGATGTGGGTTGTATGTTGTGAGTGGGTCCAGATGTTGGTTGTATGTTGTGAGTGGGTCCAGATGTGGGTTGTATGTTGTGAGTGGGTCCAGATGTGGGTTGTATGTTGTGAGTGGGTCCAGATGTGGGTTGTATGTTGTGAGTGGGTCCAGATGTGGGTTGTATGGTGTGAGTGGGTCCAGATGTGGGTTGTATGTTGTGAGTGGGTCCAGATGTGGGTTGTATGTTGTGAGTGGGTCCAGATGTGGGTTGTATGTTGTGAGTGGGTCCAGATGTGGGTTGTATGTTCTGAGTGGGTCCAGATGTGGGTTGTATGTTGTGAGTGGGTCCAGATGTGGGTTGTATGTTGTGAGTGGGTCCAGATGTTGGTTGTATGGTGTGAGTGGGTCCAGATGTGGGTTGTATGTTGTGAGTGGGTCCAGATGTGGGTTGTATGTTGTGAGTGGGTCCAGATGTGGGTTGTATGGTGTGAGTGGGTCCAGATGTGGGTTGTATGTTGTGAGTGGGTCCAGATGTGGGTTGTATGTTGTGAGTGGGTCCAGATGTGGGTTGTATGTTGTGAGTGGGTCCAGATGTGGGTTGTATGTTGTGAGTGGGTCCAGATGTGGGTTGTATGTTGTGAGTGGGTCCAGATGTGGGTTGTATGTTGTGAGTGGGTCCAGATGTGGGTTGTATGTTGTGAGTGGGTCCAGATGTGGGTTGTATGTTGTGAGTGGGTCCAGATGTGGGTTGTATGTTGTGAGTGGGTCCAGATGTGGGTTGTATGTTGTGAGTGGGTCCAGATGTGGGTTGTATGTTGTGAGTGGGTCCAGATGTGGGTTGTATGTTGTGAGTGGGTCCAGATGTGGGTTGTATGTTGTGAGTGGGTCCAGATGTGGGTTGTATGCTGCGAGTGGGTCCAGATGTTGGTTGTATGTTGTGAGTGGGTCCAGATGTGGGTTGTATGCTGCGAGTGGGTCCAGATGTTGGTTGTATGTTGTGAGTGGGTCCAGATGTTGGTTGTATGTTGTGAGTGGGTCCAGATGTGGGTTGTATGTTGTGAGTGGGTCCAGATGTTGGTTGTATGTTGTGAGTGGGTCCAGATGTGGGTTGTATGTTGTGAGTGGGTCCAGATGTTGGTTGTATGGTGTGAGTGGGTCCAGATGTGGGTTGTATGTTGTGAGTGGGTCCAGATGTGGGTTGTATGTTGTGAGTGGGTCCAGATGTGGGTTGTATGTTGTGAGTGGGTCCAGATGTGGGTTGTATGTTGTGAGTGGGTCCAGATGTTGGTTGTATGGTGTGAGTGGGTCCAGATGTGGGTTGTATGTTGTGAGTGGGTCCAGAAGTGGGTTGTATGTTGTGAGTGGGTCCAGATGTTGGTTGTATGGTGTGAGTGGGTCCAGATGTGGGTTGTATGTTGTGAGTGGGTCCAGATGTGGGTTGTATGTTGTGAGTGGGTCCAGATGGTGGTTGTATGTTGTGAGTGGGTCCAGATGTGGGTTGTATGTTGTGAGTGGGTCCAGATGTTGGTTGTATGGTGTGAGTGGGTCCAGATGTGGGTTGTATGTTGTGAGTGGGTCCAGATGTGGGTTGTATGTTGTGAGTGGGTCCAGATGTGGGTTGTATGTTGTGAGTGGGTCCAGATGTTGGTTGTATTTTGTGAGTGGGTCCAGATGTTGGTTGTATTTTGTGAGTGGGTCCAGATGTGGGTTGTATGTTGTGAGTGGGTCCAGATGTTGGTTGTATGGTGTGAGTGGGTCCAGATGTGGGTTGTATGTTGTGAGTGGGTCCAGATGTGGGTTGTATGTTGTGAGTGGGTCCAGATGTGGGTTGTACGTTGTGAGTGGGTCCAGATGTTGGTTGTATGGTGTGAGTGGGTCCAGATGTGGGTTGTATGTTGTGAGTGGGTCCAGATGGTGGTTGTATGTTGTGAGTGGGTCCAGATGGTGGTTGTATGTTGTGAGTGGGTCCAGATGTGGGTTGTATGTTGTGAGTGGGTCCAGATGTGGGTTGTATTTTGTGAGTGGGTCCAGATGTTGGTTGTATTTTGTGAGTGGGTCCAGATGTGGGTTGTATGTTGTGAGTGGGTCCAGATGTTGGTTGTATGGTGTGAGTGGGTCCAGATGTGGGTTGTATGTTGTGAGTGGGTCCAGATGTGGGTTGTATGTTGTGAGTGGGTCCAGATGTGGGTTGTATGTTGTGAGTGGGTCCAGATGTGGGTTGTATGTTGTGAGTGGGTCCAGATGTGGGTTGTATGTTGTGAGTGGGTCCAGATGTGGGTTGTATGTTCTGAGTGGGTCCAGATGTGGGTTGTATGTTCTGAGTGGGTCCAGATGTGGGTTGTATGTTCTGAGTGGGTCCAGATGTGGGTTGTATGTTGTGAGTGGGTCCAGATGTGGGTTGTATGTTGTGAGTGGGTCCAGATGTTGATGTGGTTCTCCTCTAAATGCTCCTCAGGTGAAGCTGCTGCCTCTCAGCATGAAAAACCAAACAGGAAGTCAAATCTGCTTCTCTGGGCTCTGCTGGCTGCTGCTCTCATCATTATCTACAGACTCGGTGAGTTCTGACTGATTTATTTACTATTTCATGTGTTAGAGGACAAGAGGAGAACTCTGTTATTCTGATTTTAACTTCTGTCTTTTCTTTAATCAGCTTTTGATAAAATTAGAACCAACAAAGCTCTTCAAACCCTGAAGGAGGAGAAAGGAGCTCTACAGGAGGACATTAAGGTTCTACAGGAGGACATTAAGGTTCTAAGTGAGGAGACTGATTTATTTACTATTTCATGTGTTAGAGGACAAGAGGAGAACTCTGTTATTCTGATTTCATCTGATTTTAACTTCTGTCTTTTCTTTAATCAGCTTTTGATAAAATTAGAACCAACAAAGCTCTCCAAACCCTGAAGGAGGAGAAAGGAGCTCTACAGGAGGACAATAAGGTTCTAAGTGAGGAGACTGATTTATTTACTATTTCATGTGTTAGAGGACAAGAGGAGAACTCTGTTATTCACATTTTAACTTCTGACTTTTCTTTAATCAGCTTTTGATGAAATTAGAACCAACAAAACTCTCCAAACCCTGAATGAGGAGAAAGGAGCTCTACAGGAGGACATTAAGGTTCTACAGGAGGACAATAAGGTTCTAAGTGAGGAGACTGAAGCTCTGAGAAAACACATCTCAGGTGAGAATGTCGGGTTTGAAAGAGTCCAGAAGGTTCAGCCTGGAGGTCTGATTCAGGCCCGTCAGGATTATTTAATCTGAGACTTTCTGGATCAGATATGATGTTTTTCTCTAATTCCTTACAATATACAACTAATAACAAGGTGTTATTTTCTTTCCCTGAGTGTTTAGACCAACCACTAACTAATATATTCACCACTGATCAAGGGCGTCAGTTTGTTTTCAAAATTGCTGGGGACACTAACCATACACTTGAGTGGGGTTTAAAAATTGCTGGGGACAATATAGGCTAGCACAGGGGTCGGCGGCTCTGTAGCCGCATGGGTCTGCATGCGGCTCTTCCATCCATCTGATGCGGCTCTCTGTGCTCTTAAAATAATGAATTGATATTTAAATAAAAAGCTTTATATTTTACTGCATTAATTTTACATCTGTATGCTAATTCTAAATGTAAAGATTATCTGCATAAACCTGAACAGTTCCGACCCGGTCTTACTGTGAGACCGGGTTGACGCGTCACGCTTGTGCGTAATCATATGCGCTTCCTGAGCTGGAGGATGTCAGATTCTGGGATTCTCCTCAGCTCCTGGATGTGTCGCCACATTGGAGACAGGAACAAGCGCTATTCAGCCAAAGTTTCATAATCAGGGAACATTTTCTAAGTGACAAGTCTCTGAGAGACCGGGTTTGGAAAACACTCGCTTCAGTGGGAGGAACCTTCTCACATGCGCTCTGGTTCTGAGAGCCTGGATTTGTATTCTGAACAGTCTAAACATGTTTTAAAAAGAAACGTATGACAAAAGTGGCACCTGCTCAGTAAAACCACCAACAGGGTGAAAAATATCAAAATATTGTCGGCAGAGACGGGCTACAACTTCTGGATCCATGTTATATAAATCGTTTTATTGATTATCATCTTATGAACGATAACTTTGACGTACACGAGCGAGTCATTTCCATTTGACTGTATTTTGATGGATAAACTCAAGGATGCTGGCTGTTTTGAAAGAATTACCCCGACGCACACTGATGCGCATGGATGAGCTTGGAAAAATGTTCTTTTTATGAAATTATGAAACTTTGGCTGAACAGCGCTTGTTCCCGTCTCTAATATGGAGACGCATGACGCATCCAGTCTGAGGCAGAATAGCTCTTCAGCTCAGAAAGCACCTGTAGAGACATTTGATCACGCACAAAGTTTATGTGGAGCAGAAGCGGTCGGGCCACGGCAGGTGAAACGTTCCTAGCCTACATGAAGTGAAACTGTTTAATTGTAACATTAATATGTTACTGGACATGCTGGTCTGGTTGGTTAGACCAGTGTTTGAAGTGGAAAACACACACACACACACACCAATTAAAATAATGCTGATAGCATGGACTAGAAGACAGGTGATGGTTTTATTTAAATGATGATCAGGCTGCTGTAAAATGTAATCTCCATCCACATCCAGACAGAATGATCCTCTATTCTATTTGTTCTGCTCTTGTCTGGGCTGACGGAGCTGACGGTGCGCGCGGCGCGCCTAACGGCTGTGGTGCACATTTTACGCATTTGGAGAGGTGGACTGGATGCTTTGTTTTTACTGGAAGATGGTCCACTTAACGCACGGGTGTAGACTACATATTAATGACAAATGAATGAAAATTAAATTGGGAGTTTTTACTTCATATTTTAGAAATAAAAATGACAGGGTAAAACATTTATGACGTATTTTTAAACTAAATTTTCTAGCGCGACCTGCCTGCTTCACTAAGTCACTGCTTATTAAGGTCCGTCCAGAATTACCGTGGCCCACCCAAAAATGAAAACCTGGCGCTGCGCCTGTTATAAACCTCTGCAAATTGTTGTTCTTCACGTTATCAAACTCAGACTTTGTACAGCTAATGTCAAGATGTAAAATTATGAATTCAGTCGAGCTCTTCCGTCCCTCCCTCTCCTGCTCTCCTGGAAACCCGACATCGGCTGTCAGAAGAGGGAGGTGAAGAAGGAGATGAGGCAAGCAGAGTGAGTGCGACGTAAAGAAACCAGACTGGTGTGGAGGTGAGCAAAACAGCTGGAAAAGTGTGGGTGTTGAATCCCCCACGGGTGCGACGCCCATGCGAGCGACCGGTACTGGCTGCTGTCACCTGGTTGTGAGCAGCTCTCTGCTGTCTGAGGGTAGGCCCCGCCCACAACGCCGCGGCTGCTGCGGTGTTTTCTTTACTGTGGGAAATGGGTAATAATGGCTCTTTGATGGGAACAGGTTGCCGACCCCTGGTATAAGATCTGAGCTGGTAAAACAAAAATCCTCATCAGCAGGCTTATTTTAAAGTGGGGGGGGACACAACTGCCAATCACAAATTTTGCCGGGGACATGTCCCCGGCGTCCCCGGTTAAAATGACGCCTATGCCACTGATGCTGTAAGAAAACATAAATACACATTTTTAATGATCTTTCAGTTAAAAAATTCTGAGTAGCACAGCCCACTGTAGATGACATGTAAGTAGAGGTCTTCTCCTCCTGACCTTTCTGTCCTGTAATGATGTTAAAGAAACATTGATGGAGCCACAGAAACAGGAAGTTAGATGGTAACTGCAGGACAGAAGACGCCTCCTGCTGCCTCCTAATCACACAAACATCTACAGAGATTTCTTCCTCCTGGATGAATCCAGTCTTTGTTCTCATCTGTTCTAAGATCACGTTTGTCTGAAGTTGGACAGAAACTGGGAGAAACATGGAGACAAGTGTTATTATTTCAATGACCGTTACTTACCCTGGGAAGGGAGCAGAAGTTTCTGTGAGGCTCTGGGAGCAGACCTGGTGAAGATCGACAGCAGAGAGGAGCAGGTATGAAACACTGCTGCAGGTTCATGTTCTCACAGATTTCATCATCATGTTTCTTCATCTGAGCTCAGAAACGTCTCTGAGTCATTTTCATCTGATTTGATTCAGGAGTTCCTGGTGGAGAAAGTGAAAAACTTTGTGATGGATGATTGGGAAGGTTTCTGGATCGGACTGACAGACTCAGAGGTAGAAGGCATCTGGACCTGGGTGGACGGATCTCCACTGGACAGCAGGTCTGATGGTTGTGTGAATATTTCAGTTTCACAAAATCAACTTGACAAGGCTTTTCTGGATCAGAGTCTCCAGTTTTAATGGATTTTGTTCTTTTTACTCATCTGTCAGAATGAAGTTTTGGTTAGAAGGTCAGCCCGATAACGCTAAAGCACGCAGTCCATCTGGAGAGGACTGTGTGACAATTCTGAAGGGAGGAGCTGAAGATCTGAACACCTGGAATGATGACATCTGTCGCTTAGCTCATAAAAGTATCTGTGAGAAAGCAGCAGGAACTGGACCGAGTTCATCTGTTTGTGGCTGAAGTTCAGTTCAGTCTCTGGAACAACCTGAGTCCAGGATCCAGGAGGAGCAGAGATGATGTTTGTAGAAAGTTCATCTCACAAACAGCTGAAGCTTCATTTTAAATGTGTGGAAGAGAAAAATTTTATATTTTCTCACATTTTCTTTTTTCTTCTTTAGCTAAAATACAAAAGCCTAACCCATAAATAAAAACAACATTCAATCAAAAATTAGCTTTTTGAAACTTTGTTTATGAATTTTAAATATTTAACATACATTTTTAATGCCGCCCTACATGTGGTGCTGCTTTGATGGATTATTGGATCAAAGTTCTGGTTCCTTGATCTGTCAGATTTAGCTAAGTGGCTTTTTACTGTGAGCATAGATTTTATTTGTTCTGAATTTATTTTACTGAATCAAACCGGACCCAGGCCCGGAGCGGCTAATCGGGAGGGTCTGGACTATTCCCGGTGGGCCGGTCTGATATGTCGAATCTCTCAGAATCTAGTTTTAAGGTTTAGCTGTTATGAGTTGCACAGCCAATCAGAGGCTGACAAGTTTGGAGATGTTACCAAGACAACTCAGAAACACACCCTCTTTGATATCGGATGTCCTGACTGGTAAAAAGGGCAAGTTATGTGTTGATGTTTACTTAACCGTACTTGTTATTGTGTGGATGCAGGTGTGAGGACCTTGTCGTCAAAACATGGCAGGTTCTAGTAGACCAACATAATATAACATCCATTCAGTGAGCACAGATTAATGAAGCATTTCATTATACTATAATTATTATAAGTAGCAATAAACAATTGTTAATTTAATGATTATCTAGATTTTAAGTCATAGAAGAAGTTCATATTGATTTAATAAATCATTCATGAATTTAGCAACTGATTGGAGCTGGAGTTGTTCCTTCTGTGGAGGCAGGCAGATGGGACCTTGGGAAAGAAAGCTATTGTTTATGTTTCAGACTTGCAGTCTGTGAATCCCAGCTGGTTAGAAGGTAGACTCATTTAAAAGGAACACGTGCAATGTTGTGTCTCCTTTCTGACCAGACGTTGAATAGATGGTGGAAGGTTATGAAGTTCATTATTTTCAGCTCCACACAGCTGCCCCCTGTGCACAGTTACACCCGTGTAGAAAACGCCAAGGTCGGGTGTTCCTCAGACTGTTTACATTCCAGGAGAAGAGTCCGAAGGACAAGAAGAACGCTTTTCAATAATCAAAGTACTTAATTTGTGATTAAAGCTATTCGAAACAGATGTTGATCAATAATAATCAAGTGAATGATCTGTGAAATAAATATGTCATGATTTATGTTTAATGAAAACAGGACTACTGCACAGACATACTGATCCTCATCTCCATAGAAACGCATGACACATTGTTCCAACCAATCAGAGCTTTCGGCTGCCGCAAGATAATCTGGCTTGTTGACTTAAAGTATCCAATCCGCTTTACTAAAACTTATCAATAATTCAGAGATATAAAACAAGGCAACGCCATTTCAAGTCAGTTCCATTTTGACTTCAGTTCTATTCACCGACATCCCAAAGAAAAGCACAGACTGGCCAGATGTGTTTTCTTCTTTAAACTAAGAACTGTGAAGCTGGAGATTTTCGTCGTTTAACAACCAGACGACATCCTTTCAAAATAAGAGCACCTGCTGACGCCGTCGATTGGTACCGGGGTCAACCCTCCAGACGGGCTTTGAAACGCTGCGACCGCTGCGCCGACAGCTCCAGCGCACATCCGAGGTCTCCAGACCTGGCATTTCCTGATCTACCTGGGAGGCCCCCCACTGGGTACGTACATGGCAAAATAGCAGCTCATGTCATCACTTTATAAGCCTCGTGATATCTAGTCATAACAAAGACTACCAGATTCAATGACGTCAGCCTAAGGAGTCTGAACCAACCACACACACACACACACGCACTAACACAACATCCAAATCCATTTTCATCCATCACAGAGTTAGTCCTGGTAGATCGTTTAGAATTTATAATCAAGAAATTAAACATTCTCAAACGATCCCAACTCTCTCTCTTTTCTTGTCTCAAAGTCAATACAGAGTGTTTAATTAAACTCCCTGATGATAAAAACAGCCTATCTTCTGATTATTACAAGTGATCTACTTACAGTGTATTAAAATACAACTCTAGATAGTTTCATCACTCTATTCCGTTACAATGGTGAAAGGTCAGACTCTACCTAAGCTGACCATTGGTGGACACTACAGAACCCCCCTTTCCAAGGACACGGGGTCCTGGCAGAAACCACGGGTTGTTGAAACAAGTCAGAGGCCCTTGGGACTCAATCGAGGAAGCACAGGTTAGTTTCCAGGCAGCGGCCCCTGGAGTCAGGAACGCAAATCCCCACACCAGAGAATAGTCAATGTAGCTCCTCAAACTTAAAAAAAAAAGTTATCCACTTATCAGGATCCTCAGGGAAGGAATCAGACGATCAGGGACCGGTCCAGGCCCCAGGCGAAGCGCAGAGCTCCCGTAAGCACGGCAGGAACCACAGGACCTCCAGACCCACACGACCCGAACCCTCAGGCAGCAGGCAGCCGAATAAGGCGATGGTGTAGAGAGGTTCTCCCAGGAAGCGAGTGTGTGTGTGTGTGTGCAAGGAGGAAGAGGGGAGTGTCAATTTGTTTCAATTTGTTGACTTTTGTTTTGCATTTAATCCTGTATTGTTTTTTAACGCTTGGTTCCGAATCCTTTTTACGTTTAATTTCTAGATTCTTATGTTCAAAGTCTTGATATCCAGACAGGGGAGTTCATTTGATGACAAACCCACACCCGGGTGTATAAGAGCTGCTTTTGCAGTACCTGTTTGTATTCAAAAGTGCATATGGGGCATTTCCAAAACAATGTTTGTCATCATTTGAATCTCTCTGATATCTGATATTCTGTCTATATGAGATAACTCGTAAACTGTTTGGGATTATAACTAGAAATGAAAAAGCCACAGCTGATGTAACTCACTTTGGTTTTATTTTTCTCCTGTTGTTTCTTTATGGAGGCCACCTCAATCAATTGGTTTTGTCTATGTATTATTCAATATTTGTTACTCTTTTCCTTTTGTCATGGAAAACCTTCAAGCACCTCTAGGCTTCTCCAAGTATTTGGTATTTGGTTTGGTTTTAATGTTTATCATACGATTTAATTTTCCTTGGATCGATCCATTGTTCTAGTCTATGTATTGAGTTATAAATCAATTGTCTGGTTTCCTACTGGGAGTTTAGTTTTTAGTTATTTATTTTTCCGTGTCCTGTCTGGCCGTGAAGCAAACAGAATTGATGTCTGAATGCTGGTGACAAGCCTTACAGATTTACTCTCAGGTGGAGCATCAAAGCGTCTGCTTTTAATGTCACGCCTGATTTTTAAAACGTTATTGTTATTGTTTTTAAATGCTCTTTAATTCTGACCAGACACGGAGACAGAGGTGAAAGAGAAAGGAAGGGGCAAAGATGGGGGGGGGGGGGGGGGGGGGGGGGGGGTCCCACAAAAATAAACAATAATGAACAAGAATCTGCTTCTAGACCTGAAGAAAGAGAGAAGAAAAAAAAGCAATAAAATTAAATAAATAAAAATGGGACACAACAACAATACAAAAAGATCAAGCTATCACTGCGTCAACTTGATGAAGAAATATATAAACATTGTTTAACTGAACAATCACACGATAATAAATCACAGTGCATTAAGTGCCCACCATAGCCTTAGGACGTGTGTTGAACGTACCCAAGTCCATACTTGATGAGAGCACCATGTGAGCACCTGTGTGTGTGTACACTAGGAAGGCTAGGCTCTTCCTGGCTCTGCTCTGCTCCCTGTGCTGCCTCAACCATGACCCTGGCCTGCTCTGCTGCTGCCTCTGATGTTGAAGCACTGGCCCTAGTGGTTCTTTCATCAGTGTAACTGGTCTGAAAATAAATAAAATAGAAAAAACTAGTTAAACATTTCTGTCCTTCACTCTCATTCACTCTCTCTGATGGACTAATAAAAAAACATGAGAAATACGTTTTCAGACTCTGGCCTGCACATACGTACAGGGTTACACACATGCAGCAGGAAACCTCTTTTTCCCCAATAAAAGTTAGCCTACCTGGTTGCGCTGCTCATGAAGTGCTGAAGCTTTTTCACATATTCGGGCATAGATGGACTCACGTTGTTCATCATTCAGATGGGACAGGCTTCTGAATCGTGGGTCAAGCGCTGTGCACTCCTGCAGCACGTCATTACAGTCCCCGGTGCATCGGTCCGAGATGTCGAGTAAGATGGCGCTTTTCATGTTGGCGATGGTCTGTGTGTCATTTCCGTTTGGTGACATGCTTTGCTCGATCATGTACTTCAGTGGCATTATCAGTGAAACAGTGGGCTCTTTTTCATCACAGACAACAGTTGTGGCTGTCTTCAGTGGCTTAAGCAGTTTCACTATGTCTTCTACATCTGATATATCAGTCTGATCCAGAGTGTCGATTTCTCTCGCATTCCTTCGGATTTCTGGGCAGCTCACCGAGACAAAAACCGAGACAAAACTTTGATTTTATGGATGACTTTACTGAACTGCTTGGCGAGCTGATTCCTAAGTATGATCAAGTGTTACTTCTTGGGGACTTTAACATACATGTGTGCTGTCAGGATAAACCTTTGGTGAAAGATTTCTTAAATCTCGCGGACTCTTTTAATTTGGTTCAGTTAGTGGATCAACCCACACACGTTAGTGGCCATATTTTAGACTTGGTGCTGTCACTGGGTGTAGGAGTCTCAAACCTGCAGGTCCAAGAGGCCTATTTTTCAGATCACAGGCCAGTATTGTTTGATGTGGCCTGGACTCACAAACGGGTGCAACAATATGCTCCGATGAAGCGTTGTCGGATGTTAAAAGACTCTACAGCTGCTGAGTTTGCCGCAGTGTTTTCTATGGGGTGTGCAGAGCAAGAATACAGAGATTGGACCACAGATGAGCTTGTTATACATTTTGACTCAGCATGCACCTTGGCGCTTGATGTGGTTGCCCCAGTACGGGTAAAGAAGCCTAAAGCTACAAAGGAGCCATGGTTAACTGAGAGTACTCGAGCACTAAAAAGGATGTGCAGGAAGGCTGAGCGGAGGTGGAAAAAGGATGGGCTCCAGAGCTCGCTTGACCAAGTGAGAAGTCTTTGGATTGGCTATCAGAAGGCTGTGAAGGATGCAAGAAGAAAGTACTTTGCAAACATAATCTCCTTAAATTCTCAGAATGCTAGGATACTTTTTAAGACAGTGGACTCTATTTTAAATGTCAATGAGCCCCTTGCGATTGAGTACTCCACTGAGTCATGTAACAACTTTTTAGACTTCTTTGTAGACAAAGTAAGGGTGACAAGGGCCTCTATTCCACCACTTAAGCATGCCCCCTATGCAGATCTATGTGTTCCTAAGGCACTGGAGGGTTTTCAACCATTAACTCTTGCAGAACTTGAGGATCTGGTCGTGAGACTTAAGCCGACAGGGGCGGTAACTGATGTTCTCCCGGCAAGGCTACTGACAGAAGTTTTTTCTGTAGTAGGTAACCATGTACTGCAAATTGTAAATAGCAGCTTGATTTCTGGGGAAGTCCCTTGTCCCCTAAAACAGGCGGTGGTACGACCGCTGCTTAAGAAATCAGGGTTGGACCCCACAATCTTGTCCAATTACAGACCTGTATCTACACTCCCTTTCATCTCAAAGATCATAGAGAGGGCTGTGTTTAACCAACTGACATATTTTCTTCAGGAACGGGAAATTGGAGAAGTATTTCAATCTGGGTTTAAACCCTTTCACAGCACTGAATCGGCGCTGCTTAAGGTCCTTGATGACATTTTATTGGCAAATGATTCTGGTGATGTTGTGGTTCTGGTGCTCTTGGACCTGTCATCAGCCTTTGATACCGTTGATCATAACATCCTGGTAAAACGGCTGGAGCGGTCTGTTGGCATAACGGGCAAGGCACTTCAGTGGATACGATCGTACCTGACTGGGAGGAGTTTTTGTGTGAGGTTGGGGGACTGTTCCTCCGATCTGGCTGAGCTGCCATGGGGAGTTCCCCAGGGATCGATTTTGGCCCCACTATTTTTCTCCTTATATCTCCTACCCCTGGGTGAACTATTTCGTAAACACAATGTGTCATTCCATCTCTATGCTGATGATTGCCAGGTCATTTTTCCAATTAAGCGTGGTGGTTTATGCACCATTCAACCTCTGTTGGACTGCCTTGAGGACATCAAGCAATGGCTGGCTCAGAACTTCTTGTGTTTCAACAAACACAAGACTGAAGTTATTCTGTTCACGCCACCAAAGACCCCAGGAGGTGCCCAAGGGCTTGATTTTGCCACTCTGGCACCGCATCAGAAGGCGGTGGTCTCTAACTTAGGGGTAAAACTGGACGCAGATCTCAGATTTGATGCTCAGGTGAACAGTGTTGTGAGATCTTGCTTTTTTCATCTACGCCGCATTGCGAAAATTAAGCCATTTCTGTCCCATAATCATTTGGAAACTGTAATCCATGCCTTTATTACCTGCAGGCTGGATTACTGTAATTCGCTATATGCGGGGCTTAGACAAGCTCCAGTAGCACGCCTCCAGGCGGTTCAGAACTCTGCAGCCCGGTTGTTAACATCTACCAGGAGGTCTGAACATATAACACCAGTCCTACGTGCCTTGCATTGGCTCCCTGTTTTTTATCGCATCAGGTTTAAGGTCCTCATGTTTGTGTTCAAGGCGTTAAACACAGGGGCTCCTAAATATCTTTCCGATGTCATCCACCAGCATGTCCCGGTGCGTTCCCTTAGGTCAGCTGACCAGAGATTACTAACTGTGCCTAGGTACAGCCTGAAGTCTCGTGGTAGTCGAGCTTTTTCAGTACTTGGACCAAGTCTCTGGAACGAGCTGCCAGCCGATGTAAAACAGGCCAAGTCATTAGAAACCTTTAAAGGAAGACTGAAAACACAT